GCGATCAGATAGACATCAAACTGTGATCAGACAGCGATCAGACTGCGATCAGACAGCGATCAGACAGCGATCAGACAGCGATCAGACAGCGATCAGACTGCGATCAGACTGAGATCAGACTGAGATCAGACAGCGGTCAGACTGAGATCAACTGTGATCAGACTGAGATCAGACAGCGATCAGACAGCGATCAGACTGAGATCAGACTGAGATCAGACAGCGGTCAGACTGAGATCAGACAGCGGTCAGACTGAGATCAGACTGAGATCAGACTGAGATCAGACAGCGGTCAGACTGCGATCAGATAGACATCAGACTGAGATCAGACTGAGATCAGACAGCGATCAGACAGCGATCAGATAGACATCAAACTGTGATCAGACAGCGATCAGATAGACATCAGACAGCGATAAGCTCACCGTCAGCTGTGCCGATCTGCTCAGGCTGCTCTGCAGATGCAGGTCCATCTCTCCATCTGCCTCTGACTCCACCCCCTCCACTCCTGAGCCAATCACATCATGCGAGGAGGAGGTGGAGTCCAGGCTGAGGTCCTCCAGCCTATGAGAGAGGAGAGGGGGCGTGGCTGCGGTCGTCCTGACAGCAGTGAGATCAGGAGAGGACAGAGCGAACGACACCTGCCTGACACACAGAGAGAGAGAGAGAGAAAGAAACCTGAGTCCAGACATTACAGTGATGAATCCTAACCCTTATGTTTCAGAAAAGATAACAGAGATAAAATTATTATTGTGCTGCATCCTTTTTTGTGATGACGCTCTTGCTTCGTCTTGCACTTTAAATCCAGCACATTTACAGCAACAGGTTTTTCAACCCTCAAATCACAAATATATTTTATACACTTTATATGCATACATATAGTTTTCATTGAAAACAACTAATTATTCATTTACTATATATAAATAAATTCAATTCCAGTTTATTTGTATAGCGCTTTTCACGATACAAATCGTTGCAAAGCAGCTTTACAGAAAATGTAAGTTTCTATTTTAAAGTTTCTACATTATATTTAGTTTAGTAGTAGTGGTGGTGACTATGTCAAGTTGATGTCGATGTGGCAGAAATGTACAGTAAAATTCATGCAGTTAGTTAAAGTTTTTGGGTGTTCGTATCAATATGTTAGTCTTAAGGTTATCTATAAGCCAGTGTGCTCCAAAACTGACAAAATTCGATCGCACGGTGCGGATCATATGCGCGAGTCGGCATATATTACACACTTTTAAAACTACACAGCCTCAGCACGATTATGATCACTATTTTGTTTTACTAAGAGTTTCATATTGAATCTAGGGGGTAATTTATTAGACTGTGGCTGTCAATTGCACTTTTCGATACACATTTGAGTATTAGACTGTGGCTGTCAAATGCAGCTTTAGATATAGCTTTCAGATATAAACAAAACGCTATTGGCTATTTTAAAAAGGGGGCGGGGCTGCTCGATATGTCCCGCCCTCTCTTCCTGTTTCAGTTGAGATTACGTCACACACAGAATAACGCTGCGTGTTTCAAGGCACTTCAGGGGACCTTTAATGTCATGTAATCAAACAGACGGTGAACACTAACTGCAATGATTATATGCTGCGATTAAACGCATAGCAAAAATAAATGATACCAAACTAAGTTAAATAAAATATTTTAGTGCACTGTGGAAATTAATGACAGCTTAGCTGATCTTATTTATTGTAATCTCTTTTGTTACTTTTATATGATTTATTTAAATGTGTATATATTATTCATTTAATTTATTTTTTGTATTTTATTTTTGATCTTTTTTCACAAAAGTCTACTTATTTAAAGTTCAAGTAATTCCACAATTTTTTGCTTTATTGAATAAATGCATGATATGGAAAGAGAGTAACATCGTTAAATACTCGTGATCTCAGTATTGCTGGTGTTAATGGATCAGCCTCACCTGGCCGCGTGACCTTTGACCTCCTGCTCTCGGCTGTGCTGTAAGGAGCTGTAGAGACGCGCGGTGACCTGACGAGACGAGGACAGCGCTGAGAGAGGAGACGACGGCCAGGAGCGCGTCAGAGCGGGAACACACGACTGATGAAGAGGAGCATCATCATCAGCAGCAGCAGCAGCAGCTCGGCCCACTGACGTCATCTCACTGCGCCCACACACACACACACACACACAGGTTTGTTTTTGTGAATTGGGGGGACTCTCGACAGGCGTTATGGTTTTTATATTGTACAAACCATATTTCCTATTGCCCTACACCAACCCTACACCTAAACCTACCCCTTACAGGAAACTTTCTGCAT